GGATCGCCGGCGACTTACGGCTTACATCGTGATTGCCGTTGGATCTACTTCGGGGGACATTCTTTTAGATTTTTCTTTTAATAAAGGACTTGTCAAAGACCATGACCTGTCTTTTTTACCTACACTTTTTGTTTTTTGTGAATGAGTAGCGGTACCATGTACCCCATACTCATTCACATGGGGGGGGGGCCGGAATCTGGGGGCCCCCTTGCTAAAGGGGGCTTCCAGATTCTGATAAGCCCCCCACCTGCAGACCCCCACAACCACCAGCCAGGGTTGTGGGGAAGAGGCCCTTGTCCCCATCAACATGGGGACAAGGTGCTTTGAGGGGGAGCCCCAAAGCACCCCCCATGTTGAGGGCATGTGGCCTGGTATGGTTCAGGAGGGGAGGCGCTCGCCCCCCCCCCCCTTTCCTGACCTGCCGGGCTGCATGCTCTGATAAGGGTCTGGTATGGATTTGGGGGGGACCCCACACCATTTTTTTTTTATTTTGTGATGGGGTTACCCTTTAAGATCCATACCAGACCCAAAGGGCTTGGGATGGTAGGGAGGGGGGACCCCACACCGTTTCTTTTTAAAAAAAAATTAATTTCTGACCTTTATATTTAGGTTCAGCTGTCAAAATATATATATTATCTAGACCTTCGAAACATGTAAAACCATTACAGAAATAATTATAAAGGATAATAAACAAAAACAGAATCAATAGAACTAAGGAAATCAAATTAAAATACATAAAGATATGCCTAGCTACAAATAGTGCTGTTTGTTAAACACAGCAGACGTGATTGAGTGCCGTCTGTCAGTGGACTGCACAAAGAGATTTACTATTGAACAGCGTCTAAAAAGAAAGCGCCCATGGCAGACGGCTAAATTGTGTCCTGCACATGCTCATTTCTATCCCTGCATAGATGTTGGAAAAGCTTCTAGTTCTTGACTGTCATGAATGCCCTTAAAAAACAATTTTTTACCCATTGAAATTTTTTTGGGAAATGTAAGATATTATTTAAAGTGAAGTCCAGATATTTGTGAAAGCAAATTTCAATGTGAATATGTCTCTGCAGTGATTTTTCGTTGTGTTAGACGTGCTTCTAGCAAGTCTGCTTTCTTAGACTGATTCCTGGATTGTGCCTGGTTAGTAAATTCACTTTCGAGTCTACTTCTTAGATTCTTTCTTTAGTAAATGTCTTTGCCATCTAAAAGTAGATGCACTCTTTTGAAAAGTAGACTTTATCCCATGGAAATGTGTCTGGGCACATTAGTAAATCAAGGTCCTTATGTCAAATTTCACTAGAAGTAATTTTCTTAATAAGACTTTATATTTAGCATGTTCCCTAAAATACATTGAAAAGATATTTCATTGTTTATATTTACAATATTAATATATAACTTGTATGTATTTATTAGGCATTTTGGGGATATTATACTTAGGAAAGACATTGGGATTGCATGTGCTCTGCAAGTGTGCTGAAAGTGCAGTTGCTTTATATCCAAGGGGAAGCCCTGAAATGAGATGAATCTATGCTGATTTTTTTCATCTAATCATGTGCAAGCAAAAATGCTGTTTTTTTATTTTCCTTGCATGTTCCCCTCAGATCTAGAGCAACTGCACTTTCAGTGCACAGCCTATTTGCCTTTAGTAAATCAATCCCAGTGGGTTGCTTCACTAAAACTGGAGAGTGCAAAATCCACAGCAGTTCTGCATAGAAACCACTCAGTTTCCAGGTTTTACTGACAAAAGCTTAGTTGAACAATCTGAAGTTAGAAGCTGATTGGCTATCATGCACAGCTGCGCCAGATTTTGCACTCTCCAGTTTTTAATAAGTGTTGCTTCTTAGTTTTCATTTCCTTGTCCATGCATCTTTTGCCACTCATTTGCTTTTCATCTTGTCCCTCCAACTGTTCGCCTATCAGTTTTTTCTGTCTGCATGCGTGTTTTTATATGAATTGTAGGAGGCCACTAACAGTAACACATGAAATTGTGTAAAATAACTGATAAATGGCTTTTCTGGCATTGTGAATGCCATCTTTCTAGTGACCTTGTTTCCCATAATAAATGCACAAAAATTCCAAGGTTCTTTCATATTGCACCACTAATTCAGTAGTATAAGCAACACCATAACATTTCTTTTGCAGCAACATTCTAAAAGAATTTACATGCCCTTAATGCATGGAAACTGTTCTTAAATTTCAGTAGTATGTACATGCCCTTTTTGTTATTGTTACATTATTTTGATTAATATTTTTTGTATAATATAGTCTGCTTTAGAGCCAGATTTACAGAAGCAATCTGTCACTTTCATATTTTAAATGTTTTAAGATGAAGTCAAAGATAAAGTGCCAGTAAAACTATTCAAGAAGATTTACCCATTTAATTCTCCTGACTTAGCACAGTAAAGGTATTTACAGTATATGTTTCATTCCATCACATATCCCAGAAATAACAGGATTATTCCTTATTTCAGGACTTATCATGTAAATATTCTGACCTAATCGTCAAAATGTAATGATGGAATATATGATATACTGTATATCAAATTCAGGTAAGAAACCAATATGAAACTGGATTTGGAATGCTTCTGCTGAACTTTGGATAATTCAGAATCATACATTCAACTATAATAGTTTTTAATTCATGTGCATAATTTCAGCTAACCCCTTATTAAACAGACAACTACTTTTTAAAGTTCTTTCATTATTGCTGAAGTGTACAGGAATGTATTGCTGTTCCGCACTGTTCCAAAATATGAAAACACATATATAGATGGAAAACAGATTTTTAAAATATTAACTACAATAACCATTTCAGAGCATTAAAATGATCTGCTTACAGTTACAGCTGTGTTTTTTTTACTGCCCTATTAAAGTTTAAAGATGAGGGATGGGATGTTGCTCATCATTTTAATTACATTAATAGACTGGTAGCAAAGATGAAAACTAAAATATATAGTTCATTTTAAAGTACTATTAGAGTTAAATGGGTTGGTGGTTCCCCACAAATATAAACCCATAAAACATAACTTCCAAACCTAAGATACATGTCACTGAAAAACCCCATAGTGAACCTATTTTGAAATAGGGATTTTTGCCTCTGTTTCCTATGTGAACCAATGGGAATGTGACTTGGGATCTGAAATTGATCCAGCAAACTGGAGAAAGGCATGGCCTTCTGTCGCTAAATGTTAATTTATTACTGCCACCCTGGAGGCCGCATGCAAAGTATTGGGTCCCTGCTCGTATAGCCCGTGCTAACCCAACTTATATGTTATAATGTTTCTGCGGGTGTAGCCATCGTGGGGATGTTTTGCATACCTGGTGGACATATCCACAACTGGTAGACTTTTGGTCTCAAAAGTTTGGTCTGCTGTATTCATTGTTCCATCTGACCATCCGTAAGGAGGCTAAATTCACCGTTGCATTGCTCCATCCCAGGCTTATTCAAAAACTGGCATCTTTTCTGCTCACAGCAACTAAGAGGACGATTGCACTGGCATGGAAGTACCCTATAGTCCCTTTTCAGTGTGTGAAGGACCGTCAGACCATTATGATGCTTAATGAACAAATGTCAGTTAACTTTAATGACTCCCACACCTAATTCCTGAAAATTTGGGAACCGCGGCTGCCATATACCTTCCCTGACCTACTTTTGACAAGCGTGGGCTGGCTCTGACTGATGTCTCAGAGGATACCGAGTCCCTTACCCTCCCTCTCTCTTCTATCTCTTTCTTATTCTTGTATTCCTCCCTTTGTTTTCTTTCTTACAAGGGGCTTCTGCACTCCCTTAGAATAATTTATGCCCATGATTTGTCACACTATGATCTGCTAGCTTCAATATCCTGGCTGCCTTTGGCAACCATGGGGTCTTTCCCAAAACCTTGTATGTTACTGTTTAATATGATTGTTTGCAGAGGATGTTCCTTCTTCATTATTCTATGTCTGTTTGTCTCACATGATGGCACCAGTCATAGCCCCTGCGCGGACAGGTTAGGTGCTTTTTTGTACTGTTTTGTCTTTTGTGTCTTTCAGCACACTGAAATGTGGAATATAAACTAACAGATAAACAATAAAAACTTTTGTGAAAAAAAAAACTATTTAAGTGTGCAGGCGTGTTTTATTATCATATACAAGCTTAAGGGTAAAATAAGAAGTTTAACAACAACCCAGGGGTGGACTGACAACTCATGGGGCCCCCAGGCAATAGGGGATCATGGGGCTACTGTGTCCTTGCCCAAACTCAAAAAAGCCTATGAAAAAGGTACCAGGGGCATCTCATGGGGCCCCCTACTGACCCTGGGCCCTCGGGCAGTGCCCGAGTTTCCAAATGGTCAGTCCGCCCCTGCAACAACCATACATTGGTGCAAAAATATTATGATTATATCAATTATATACTATATCTTTACATATTTTGCAATGGCTTGTACCTCTATACCTAATAAACTTCAATAAAGTGTTCCAATTTCATGTTACATAATATTAAATATATATCAGATATAACATACAGAAGAGGATAAAGATGTGCAAAGTGTAAAGAAAGTATTAGAGTGTCACGTCCATGCAATATCTCTAAACAGCATACAAGGTAAGTGTTCCTCCACATGATCCCTCCACTATGGACACAAACAACCTCTTACCCGAAAATGTGGATCTCTTTTGCCAAAAGTGTGTGTGCCTTTAACCTCCCTAGTGGTCTGATTATGTCAGTATTTCTGTGCTCAAAGCTGTACATTTTTTTTGCATGGAAATATGTTGTTTTGTTATTGTAGGCTTGTAATTCTTAGAAATAACTCACTGAAATCTGTCCGAACAAAAATCTAGTAAACATCCTGGGTATGATAAAATTTGAAACACGAAATCATATATTATAATATATTAAATAATGATAAAAAATAATAATATAATAATAATAAATTTAATTCAATAATGTAATCAAACCAAAAACACTGAAATTTGAACTAGAGATCCAAGTTCGCACATCACTGAGCTTAGTCACAAAATCATTTTCAGTGTCTGATGATGAATTTCCCCATGAATCATTATCACTCAGTTCTAATTTACTATCGCTGTTCTCTAGCTGGTCTAAAATCGTTTTTGACCTAAAGGGACGCTTTTTGGACGCCATGGACTTTTCTCAGTTTCCAGGCAGAAAGAACAGTAAAAATGCAGACAGAGCACAGGACAAAGCACTAGGGACAAAATGTATGTGAAATGGTTTTATATAGTAATGTTATACTATGAGATTTTAGTGTATTGAGTGAATGTCACTTTTAAAATTTTTAAATTTCCCGCCGGTTCTGTCCCCCATACGTCCCGTACGTCCTGACGCTTGCAGGGAACCGAACACGGAGGGAATGGCCGGGGACGCTGCAGGGGGGACATCGCAGAAGCGAAGGACAAGGTAAGGGAATCCTTGAGCAACTCTGCAGGGTAATCCCGAGTGTAGCTCAGGGTTACCGCTTTTGGTACTGAAAGTTAACCACAAGCTACACTCTCTTGAAATACTGCCAGGGAGGTTAAGAGCAACCTATGCGAGCCAATGCGGTCCTCCAGGAATTCCAACCAGCCAAACACTTTTGCTTAGGGGTTAATAGCATGGCATATATGGTGCATTCAACCTCAGAAAGACAACCAAAAGAGTCAGCATAGTGTTACACTGACATGCAGGTTTTATTCCACAACCGGGTAGTAGATATACACTTACACGATCCAAGGAACAGAGAAGCACAAAACTAAAAGCACCACACAATCCACAATGGGTGGGTGTGACAACCCTGGCTATGTTATATTAATGTGTTTAATGTTATTTTTTAGTTTTTTTTAGTTTTTTTTATTTGTATCAATGGCTAAGAAATATGAACTATCCCTTACCAGTGAAACAGACAGGTAGTAACAATTTACCAGCCCTACATAGAATTAACGTGTTACACATAAACCACTATGAATAATTGCATCTATGTCTTGATGGCATCAAAATGTAGCTTGGTGGTTGTTAGCAGTAAGCTTGTATTTTGAAGAGAGCGCATTTTTGGGGATCTCCTCATAGAGCGCCAGCCCCATGCTAAAGGTATACAGACTGTTGGAAGTTATTTGGCAGTGGGGATACCAGCTCCTGTGCACTATGGTTTGGAGAAGAGAAGATACATTTGTTTTTCAATGTTATTAGTTTATAAACATTTAAAAAAAAACAGTAGCAACAAGACACACCCACGCAGAGGCCATCAATTGCACATAAAAAAATTAATAAAACAGTGCTCTAACACCAACAGAGCAAAAGGTGCGACCACACAGGGGCTATCAATGGCATATAAATGACAAAAACATTGATATAACATCCACAGTAACTCAAACCAAAGGAGCTATCCACCGCCACACCAAAAACAAACAGAAACAGAAAAGGAAGGAGGAGTACAAAAGGAAAAAGATGACAAGACCATGAGCAGGGTTTTGGGAATGCCAATACCGAGCAACATCACAACCCTAGACTAGCCGGGGGGGAGCGTGGAAAGGGCATATTGCAACCACGGCTCCCATATGTTCAAAAATGTCCATTGGGAGTCATTACAAATACTTGACACCTGTTCATTAAGCATCATTGTGGTCATATGGCCCCGCATCCCCTGAAGAGAGACAAACAGGCGCTTCCATGTCTGAGCAATTGTTCTAGTGGCTGACCAAAACAAATAGGAAGCCAACTTCTGCTGGTGAGCCAAGAAGCCCGATATGGGACAATGAAGCAAAGCGTACCGAGCATCCCGGAGTATGGGGAGATGGAACAGGGTAAACAGGAGGCCAAGCATACGAGACCAAAAACCAATCAGTCTTGGGCATGACCACCAGATATGCAATACATCACCATGATGGCCACAACCCCGAAAGCATCGATCACTGCAGGCAGGGTTTGCCTGGGCCAAACGAGCCGGAACCCAATAGCCACGAAACAATACTTTTTGTGCCGCCTCCAGCGTGGTCGTATTAAAGGAACATAAAAGGAACATTTAGCTATAAATGACCAGGCCCTATTCCAGTCCTCCAGATCCATGACTGCCCCCAGGTTGCGCTCCCATTGAGCGACATATGAGAGAGAAGTATGCGTCAAGCGTCTGTTCAAAGCTGCATAAAGAAGGGTAATAAGGCCTGGGGTGCCCGGACACTGTTGGCAAAGCTGTTCAAAGGCAGATTTCGATACAGGAAAGCGGAAGTGCCCTGCAGTGAGGTCAGCCAAAGCTGCAATTGAAGGTAACAAAAAACTTCAGCTGGAGGGACATCCCGTGACTCTCGAAGAGAATTCCAGGTGAGGAAGGACCGAGGAAGGAAGGACAAAGAAGTCAAAAAGTGGTGCACCTGCAAAAAACCATTGGCCACCCAAGAAGAAAATGCCCTTGGTTGATCTAAACCTGGTGGGAAAAGAGGGTTGTTAACAATTGGGAGCAAAGGTAGGAAAGGTGACATCATGCCACTGGAGTAGCGTACTGAGTCCCACACTTGTAGGCCAAGCAGCAAAATAGGACTGAGTGTCATAGGGAGTAGGGCAGGGGGAAGCCATAGAAGCATTGATGTTGCAGTAGGGGCACAATTAGGTAGTTCCAGCAGGACCCAGAGAGGAACATCAGAGGAAGCGTGCAACATAGATAGTGGGGCAATCTGGCTCGCCTGATAATACTTAATTACATTAGTCACCCCAAGACCCTGGAGTCTACGAACAAAAAGCGTATTTCTGGAGACTCTGGGGCGCTTATCGGCCAAGATAAAATGCATAATCTTTGCCTGAATCAACTGAAGGAAATGGGGAGGAACCCGCACTGGGAGGGTGCGAAAATAGTATAACAATTTCGGCAAGATGGTCATTTCACTGAATTAACCCGTCCTATCCAAGACAGGTGTGGAAATTGCCAGGAGTGCATAAGAGAGGACACAGAGTGAAGCAATGGATAATAATTTGCAGCAAGCAACGAGTCATAGGTGGGGGTCAAGCAAATGCCTAGGTATTCAGGGAAGAGGAAGTCCATTTGTAAGGGAAGTGGGATTGTAGGCGTGAAACCAAATCTGAGGCTAAAGTAATATTGAGAGTGACAGTCTTATCCAAAAATTAATAGGGAGACCAGAAATCAAGGCGAAGCACACAAGAACCTGTTGCAAATTTGGAAGCGTCGTCAGGGGATTAGTGAGAGTCAAGTGGGAATCATCCACAAAAAAGGTTCAACTTAAACTCCTGTCCTGCATATGGAACACCCGATACATTACAATTGGCCCGGAGAGCTAAAGCTAGTGGCTCAAGCGGCAGGACAAAGAGCACTGGGGACAGGGGGCAGCCCTGTTTCGTCCCTCGCCAAATAGGAAAGGGATCTGAAAATACCCAGCGTATTTAACGGAAGCCGAAGGGGAAGAATACAAGGCTTGAATCCAAGAAAGAATAGAATCCCCAAAAACCCAACGAGACAGCACAAACCACAGATATTCCAAAGATAGAGAATCAAAGGCTTTATATATGTCTAAGGACAATAAGAATCCCGGGATTTTCCGCTGTTGTAGAAAGTGTATAAGATGGACCACCTTACGAACATTATCACCCGCCTGCCTCCAAGGGACGAAACCTACTTGGTCCCTGTGGACCAGACTACACAAATATTTATTGATACGAAGACTAAGGATCTTGCCCAATATCTTCAGGTCTTCATTAAGAAGAGAAATGGGCTGAAAGGTTTGCGGATCCTGCACATCATCGGTCGTCTTAGGAATCATGGAGATATGAGCTCTAAGAGCATCCGGAGAGGGCAAAGAGAACTGTCGTAACTCATTGAAATAATTAGCCAAGAAGGGTGACAACAGGGTTGCAAATTTCTTATAATACAGACCGGAAAAATTCATCTGGACCTGGGGCCGCGGTGGACTGTAGAGATTTGATAGCTTGAAGCACTTTTGATACGGTGACACCGGTGTGGAGGGCCATCTGTGCTTCCTCGGATAATCCAGGAAGTTGGAGATCTTGGAAGAATGCCTCTGCATGAGCCAGAGGAAAGGGATCTGGTTTAGAGTAAAGGCGCGAAGAGAAGTCTGCAAAATGGAAAACAATCTGCTGGGGATTAGAAGTACAGACACCCACGTAAAGTCGCAATCGGATCGGTTTGTGAGGTTTCCCCATAGAATTGAGTTTCCTGGCCAGGATTATTAGCACAGGAATAAAATTTATGTTTGGTCCAACGCAGGGCCCGTTCCACCTCTGAAGAAGCAAGTAGTTTAGTAGGGGCAGCACAGTGGCTAAATGGTTAGCACTTCTGCCTGGCAGTACTAGGGTCGTTGGTTCGAGGTGCCACGGCACCTCCTGCCTGGAGTTTGCATGTTCTCCCTGTGCCTGCGTGGGTTTCCTCTGGGTACTCCGGTTTATTCCACACACCAAAGACATGCTGGTAGGTGAATTGGCTCCTGGCTAAATTGTCCCTACTATGAGTATGTATGAATGTGAGTTAGGGACCTTAGATTGTACACCCCTTGAGGATTAGGGACTGATGTGAATGTACAATATATATATATAAAGCGCTGTATAAATTGATGGCGCTATAAAAGTACCTGAAATAAATAAATAAAATAAGTAGGTCCAACTCTGCAGCCAGAGCGTCCCGTACGCGTTTATGGGCCGCGGATGGAAATTACTTCCAATGAACATCCGCAGTGGCCAGTAGAGAATGAAGAAACAAAAATCGGTGCTCCCGCTCCTGTTTGCGAGCCGCCGCCAGCTGTATAATATGACTTCGCACCATGGCTTTATGTGCCTCCCACAGGGGCACTGCAAAGAGACAGATCCACAGTTTTCCGTAAAGCATGTACGTAAAAAAGATTCTATTTGCTGGCAGGTGACCTGCGTGGTCAATAGAGATTCATTAATGCGCCAGAGAAAGGGGCACCATACCAACCCAGAGAGGGCAAGGAGAAGTACCAAGGGATCGTGGTCCGACTAGGGCGAGGAAGGAATAGATATCCGCCTGACCAAGGGAAGCTGCTGGACATGCATGAATATATATTGTGCAATTCTACAAAAACTGTAATGAGGATTGGAATAGAATGTAAAGTCGAGCTCAGTTGGGTGAAGTTCCCTCCAGATGTCCACCAGCCCAGCTGTCTGCAAGAGAGAGTGCATAAGTTCCTCTAGCACTAAGTCATGAGAAGAGGCCGCCCCCCCCGGGCATAGAGCTTATCCAAAGCGGAATCCAAGGTGACATTTGAATATCCCAAAAGAAGAAGAAGACCCTTGGATTGTCG